AGGGTTTGTTGAGCGGCTGAGGCAACCGCCGTACACAGGGGGCGTCAGCGTTCTGTGGAGTACGCGGCAGGTCGGGCCATGAACTTGGGGTAAGCTGGGGCGAGAAAAGTGGTCGTATGCGGGGAGGGGTGAGGTTGGGTTGGCTCTTGGAGTCCTTCGCGGAGACCCTTCGAGGCCTACGGCTCCCCAGGCGGCAGTGCCCGGCTTCCTGAGGTAAAGGGAGCCAGGGGATGGGGTCGGCTTTTGCGGCTCCTTCAACCTTCATGTTTCCACTTCGTAACTCAGTAAAACTGTCCTCGTCTCCCTCTCGCCTCCCTCATTTATCTCAGGATGGAGAGAGAGGAGAGGGTTGAGAGGAGACAAACGGTAAGGGCGGGTGGAGAGAGAAAGCTTGGCGGCTTCCTGGGGAGAAATCCTGGCTCAGGCCCGGGTGCTTTACGACTCTGTGGAGTCTTTGCAGAAAATCGGAGCTCCCGTGGGAGTTGAGCGCCTGCGGTGCGAGGAGCCGACGCTTCTCGAGGAATCACGTATCACCTGTGCCTGGCACCCCATAGGTCCTCCTTAAGTAGTGTTTGAGTAAATAGAAAGGACGACCGTTGCGTCGTTTTCATCACTGGGAAGTTTGATATTTTACGAAGATAAAAGTCACCAAACTTAGGCTAGTGCACATCGTTTAGTAAGTGATTTTTTTGTTCTAGAATCTAGGTATATAAAAATAAGTCTGCCCCTGAAGGCGTTTGCAGGGCAGTAGTGCTGAATAGACGGTTTTACAGTTTCATTCGAGGTCTTTTTTGAAGTTTCACAAACGTAAAATGAACTGTTCGTAACCTTGGAACTGGGAAACCCTTAAAACCCGTTCTTTCCAGTGTTTCACTTGATCAGTAAGTTGAGGTTACTTGATTTCCCCTACCTTGGCATCACCGCAGATTTCGAATTTCTTTACATTGGCACGCTGGGTTTAATTATGTCTCTTGGACATAACTTTTGTCCCCATTGTTTATTGACATACATTTTTTTTCTCTTAAGTAAAACAGTGAATAAACAAACCGTGTGTACTGTTTTTGTTATTAGTGGAATTTTTATTAGGCTTTTAACAGATATTCAGCTCGTCTCATTACTTTTTGCTCTTGCATTTGGCATTCACAAATATAGTGGCCAGAGTTTATTATAGGTGTATTGCCGTGATGGTAATAAAAGTGTCACTAAATGTGATTATGTGTTAGTCGAAATATTGAAAATAGAGTGGAACTCTGTGCTCAAGCAGTTAATAACCCTGGTGGCAATATTATAGCTCATTTTCAAATAATGCTCCAACAGGCCATAGAATGTTAGTCATGAGACCACTGTGAAACTAATAAATGATAGCTAGATAGGTTTTGGTCCTTTAACTTAGGTGAGGAGTTTTGTAACAGCATTATTTTTTGCAGTCTAGAGTTAGGAAAATTAAATGTTATGATAACCAGATTAATCTATTGCTTGTCAGTAACAAAAATAAGTTTCAGGTTAAAGATAACAAGATCCTTGTATTGTTGGAAAGTTACAGGAATTTTCTCCCTATGCTTTTAAATTTGAGTTTGGATTGAAAACTGTTTTTAATTAAAAGAATGATTTCAACTATACCTCAAAAAAAAAAACCTATAGAAAATTTTTAAAAAATGGTTTAATATTTACAAGATTCCTGTATAAATTCAAAAGAGCAGATTTACTTCCCAGGTTCAAGTGAGCATTTCTGGCTATTTAAAATGTTGCTGTTTCTTTAAAATGACAGACAACTTTCTTTTATTTTGCAGAGATGGTTTAAAGCTTGAAACTGAATTATTGAATGGAAAAACCAAGCTAATATTGTCTCCATATGGTATGCTGTTACTGGAAATCTAAAATACTAACTTTTAAATTCCTTCGTGCAATTTATACTTCTTTAACAGACTTTTTTGCTTGTAATGGAATATTTAAATGATACTTTGAAAAAAGCTGGTTTCCCTAACTTCCTCAAATATATTTTTAGCCAAATCAAGTCAAATTACATCATTGCTTACCACTGTCAGTATTTATTTGTATAATTTAATGTTACAGTATATTTCACCTGTATTATCTCTTCATTATATTTGTATATTGCAAATATCCTCATTGCCTAATGAATAATCTGGGTGAAACTTATGTAATTGTGTTCTGTGCAGCTGAAGAAGGTATAGTTTGAGAAAATTAAATTTATAGTGAGACTACAGTTTTAAAGTCATTTTAAGTATTTTAAAATACAGAGTATGGTTTGGTAGTCTTCTCACATTATTTTTTCTCTGATCTGTTTATAGTTTTTCCTAGGAAAATAAAGATGAAATAGAAATATTTGTAACACTGTAAAAGAATACTCACACAGGACTTAAGGTTAATGCTTTGGGGGTTAATACTTTAACTTAATATCTTCTTAAAACAATGCAAATTAAAATTTTCTTTTGTGACTGCCTTCGTATGCTTTTCATTGATAGTTTTAGTAATTTTTTTTTCTTTTGTAGAACATAAATCAAAAATTTCTGTAAAGGTAAGCCAAATGATTTTCACCTGACCTGTTCTCAAATGTAAAATGCAGTTTTCTTTATAGTTGTTTGAAAATAATACCTGTTAAACTATTTTAAGGGAATGATAGTGAAAAGTTATTATTCCCTTGCTTTCAGTCTGGTCTTTTCACAGAAGTGGAATAATAATTTTTCAGTTTAAAATGTCTTATAGAACCCTTATCTCTAGATCAGCTTTCTGCAATGATGGAAATGTCCTAAACTTAGTGCTGTCCAATATGATAGCCAGCCACTAACCATGTGTGGTTATTGGGTACTTAAAATGTGACCAGTGTGACTGAGGAAGAATTTTTAATTCATTTAATTTTTAGTTAAAATTTAATAACTACTGTACTGGACAGTGCTGCTCCCAAGATCTTTAAAAATAGAAATTCAGACTTTTAAGAATTTTTTCACGCTCAAGTTCCATTTTCCCATACCAAAAGTGTGTATTTGATTGACAAAATCTTACATTTAGCTTCCTACTTTAAGAGATTACACTTGAGGTAAATATAATTTTCCTTTTAACTTAATTTTCTTTATCAGGAGCCCATAGTGCTTTTTTCCTACAAAATACATTAAACCACTTTAAAATTTTGATATCATTACTTTTCTTGTTTTCCATTTCTTTTTCCACTTTTAGATTAACAGCAGCAGAAATTTCTATTCTCCTTTTCCATAACTAACTGTAGCCCCTTTTATTTTGCAGCACCTGAAACCCTTTTCATATCTGTAAATAGAGCCCAGTTTGGATGATTGGCACTTTTTACGTCTGAGCCCTTCATAGCTTTGCTATTTCTTACCAGTTTAATCAAGGTGAAGAAGTTGCTTGAGTCCCCAACATATCAATCACTTGGTAAATGGGTGATCATGATCAGAGTAATTCCATAAGCTATCTATAAAAATTATTACATGTATGTGTGTGTATACACACACACAGTTTATACATACCTGTGTATTCCCTTAATGACTGAGTACAGATTGTACATTTTTTCCTGGACCTGCCCTATTAAAATACTGCAACTAACTTTTTATTTGAGTCACATTAACAAATACAGTGCATCTTTTCAAGCTCCTAGATAGAAAACTACATGTAATAGTTGATTTTTATTTTCCCCTTGCCTCTATTCTCTCTCATATGTTCCTTTTTTGATTGTTTCCTTAATGGGTTTGCTGTAGTTAGTACATTTGTGATGACATTTCATTATCTTTTACCCAATTTAGAGTATCTGGAGAGCTTCTTTTATGCCTGTAATAAAGTTACTAGTCTTGGACTTTTGGTAGCATCATTACTAAATTCTGTCACTGGTCTAGGGATCTTTTATTTTACGATTTTTTCCAGAGTAACTAATATGTCTCAGCTGATGTTAATCTTAAATTACTCACTGTCTTAAAGCAAATTGGGTTTATTCCTCTTGCTTTTGGGATTCCACAATACTGATACATGGTAACTATGTGAGGTGGGGAATATGTTAATTAGCTTGATTGTGGTGATTATTTCACAGTATATACATTTATCAAATAATCAAATTGTATACTTTAAATATATACAATTTTTAATGGTCAATTAAACCTCATTAAAGCTGGAAAAAATACTGATGCAACCTAAGTCTCTCTTCTATATTGATTTTATTACAAGGAGCTTCTCTTCCTTTATAAAGGTTACTGAGATCCTCATTTCTTTCTTTGCTCTTTACAGAGACAAAAACCAAAAAGAGTAGAACTGTCTTCCTTTCTGTTTTAATCATTTTACAGTTCCCCAAATCTCAGAATTCTTGAGCTATATGTTGAATTCTCTTTTCTGTAAGTTACTCATGAGTTCTCTCATAGTGCTTGTCTTCTCTCCTACTGGGGTAAGCTACTAAGTGACTATAACACTTAACCTACAGTTCTGTTTTTCCTCTTCCTCACAGGCTGGATTCCTGTCAGCTTCATAGTGTACTTTTTAAACACAGCTGAGCTCTATCTCTTCATCATCAAATTTAACACATGTGTGGTCAGAGTACTTTCTTAATTCTGTCATAATCTCCTGCATTTTTCTTTAGTCTGTGGTAATGAATATGAAGTAAAGATGACTACCAGTATAATTTCTTAAGTTTGTGTAGGAAGAGAAATGAGAGAAATATTAATGATTCATTGTCAGCAGTAATTTATGAATTTTAAACTCATGCTTAAAATTGTCTCACAATTAGTTGAAATGTAAAGCATTAAAAATTTTTTTCACAGATATTTCTACATGTGAGAATTAGCATAGTGATACACTAAAGGATGTATACAATACTAGTGCTAGGTAGCACATTGTATATTTTAAAATGTTAACCTTCTCTGATTCTAGTGTTGGGATCCTGGCCCCATGTAAATTGTAAAGTTGACCAATGTTAAGTAAATGCATTGGGCACTGCCTTTATATATATTTTTTATGTCATGAAAAATACTAGTAGAAATAAAACTAGATAAAAGAACAATATGCTACATAAAAATTTATATTACACAAAGACCCTATTTGATCTATTAAAATTCATCTAATTCAGTAAACGGTTGGGAAATGACTTGGGCTAGATTGCTTTTTCTTACTGAGTAACCTGAAGTTAATTGAATGTTTATTTGGTAGTTCACAATTTTTTGCTGCCTCCATTATTGTCCTCTGACATTAAGCTATAAAAATTGTTCAGAACTGAGCTGAATATATATTGATCTCATGCCAATCATTGCTCCCTACCTTCATTAAATATTTTTAGACTATTTTTTCTGTATATTATTTCTGATATAAGCGGAATGTGGCAAAATAATTCTGTTTAAATTACAGCTTCAATTAATAAGTTTCTGTTTAACAAGTGTTTACTGCAGTATGTGTGTATAGCTCCATTCTTGGTGCTATTTGTTCTGTGACTGAGGAAAAACGAATAAAACCTAGTCCTTATTTCCTAGAAGCAGGAATGTCAGTCAGGTAAATAACTGAATAATATAAGTTGAATAAAATGTGTGCCATAGTAGGGTTATAGAAAGAAAACTTTGAAAAGAGCAGCTGTTTGTGGTTTGAGGAGACCAGAGAATGCTTCATAAATGAGATGACCCTTTAATTAGAATGTAAAAGATGAGGGAGATATTTATAGTTAAAGAAGTAGGGAAGTATATTCTAAACTCAGAAAATAGTGGGCCAAATACGAAGGTACAAAGCACAATTTGCATTTGGGAGATAGTGTGTACTTCAAGGGGAAGTGTAGAACATAAAACTTAGGGTGTTGGTTACAGTCATGAAGAGTTTAAATGTATACTCAGAGGTTTGAACTTAATTGATTTGCATGTAGGGAGTATTAAAGAATTTTTGAAAAGTAGACTAGATATGATTTGGTTGTAGAAAAGGACAGATTATTATAACAAGGGTGCCAGAGTCTTATGAAACCCTGAAGTATGGTGGTAGCAGAATGAAAAGAAGGGAACAGAAATGAGAGACTTTCGAGATATGTTAAGGGAATGCACTGAACTTAATGGTTTAGGTGAGAAACTGATTAGAGAAATGAAGTATTCAACTGGTAATCATCCCAAAAAAAAGTGAGTCAAAGAAGGATGAGATTAATAGGAGTTGGAGACTAGGTGGTAGGGCTCAGCTGTGTAAGCTATGTGCTGTCTGCTGATAATTTGCTTAATCCAGACAGTGGTTTTCAAAAACTAGAATGCATTGTTAGTGTTTAAAAATTAGAAGTTTTAAGGTAAAATACGGCATTCTTGGTTCTGTTGAAATACTGGGTGATCTAGCAGGTAGACTCAGATTCCTGTTTGGCAATGTAGGCTGCTTCTGAGTGGTGGCTGCCTCCTTTAGACAGAAAAATCCTCCTCAGTTCATCCTAGTTCCCATTCAGCCTCGTTTACAGTAGGTATTTAAATTTGCCGCCTCTCATTTAGAGAATTCTATCAAGATAGCCATAGAGATAGGAGAGTAAAAAGGCATTTTAGATCGTAGTATTGGCATTATCAAAAACCTGAAGTCTATAATAAAAGGGAATAGGTGTGGTGAAGAGAATAATAAAGAGATCTTGTAGCTGATAGTAGAGGTACATTTTGAAAAGTAGGATAAAATAGGATTGGCTAATTGGTCAAACTGTGGTTATATATTACATAGTTTATTGAAAGATGTAAGCCAGATGAAAGCCATGTGCCATTTACCCCATTCTTTCACAGCAGGAATCTTGTCTAATTCATTTTATACTGCCAGCATTTTTCCATAGTGGTAATCACCTAAAAAGCAACACTTAATATTGACTGAATGTTGAATTATTTTAAATTAGTTGGGTTTTCAGAAATGTGTAGTGGATTAAATAGAAGATAGACTTGAGATAGGCAAGCTATAATCTAGTAGTGTGGTAATGAATACCTGAATTTAGGCATATTGTCATATAAATGGGGCAAAAAATGTAAAATGACCATAACTCAATAAAACAATGTTTAAAAAACATTTGGGCAAAAAAGATACTTGCTGGTAAGCTCAAGAAGACCATGAAGGAAGATAAAGAGTCAAAGATTACTCCATGATTATCAGTCTGAAAGATTAGAGCAACAGTGCCACAGAAATGGGTTATTTTGGAAAGGGGAGCTAATTTGGGGGAGAAAGATAAAGAATTGAGCCTTTAAAATGGTACAGTTGAGGATAGTCATCCAACAAACATTTACTGAAACCTACTAAGTTCCACTCACTATTTAGGTACTGGGGACAGTAGTGGACAAAGCAGACAAAAATCTCTGCCGTGTGGAGTTTACATTAGAAAAAGTTTGAGATTTGCAAATGTTAGCCACTATATATAAAAACAAATGTTTTCTTCTGTATAGCACAGGGAACTATATTCAATATCGTGTAATAACCTTTAATGAAAAAGTATGAAAACAAGTGTATGTATGTATGTGCATGACTGGGACATTGTGCTGTAGACCAGAAATTGACACATTGTAACTATACTTCAATTAAAAGAAGAAAAAGGTGAAATGGGCAGAATATAAGCAAAATAAATACAGAATATTATAAGACAAAAATGCTATTGAGAAGAATAAAGGAGAGAAGGAGAAGAGGCATGGTCACTTCAGAGGCACAGTAGTCTTGGAAAATGGGGTTGCTAGGGAGGTGGGAGTGAGATTTGAGCAGGACATGTACAATTTTAAATAGGGTGTTCAGGGAAGACCTTACTGAGCTAGTGATATTGGAGCAAACATTTGAAGGAGGTGAGTGAGTGAGCTATGTAGAATCTGAAGGAATAATGTCCTGGTCAGAGGAATTGACTAAGGCCTCTGACTGGAGATTCTTGTTGAAATTGGGATTGTGGTTATGGGTAGTTACAAGATCAGTGTAAATATCACTATGGGAATAAGTAACTCTGGTAGCATGAAGGACAAGAGTGTAGGAGCAGAATTTAAAAAGAATGTGAGGCCAGGATATTGAAAGAACGATCTATGGATCTACGTGTATGAAAGCACATAGAATTAAGACAGAATTAAGACAGGTTAGAGGGTAAACCACAAGCTAAGTTATTCAAGGACTAAGGGCTGGTAACCTATGTCTATAAATGCCTATAAAGAGAAGAGGTAGTGATAAGGGTATATAGCTCAGCACTAGAGTGCACACTTAGCATGCACAAAGTCCTGGGTTTAATTCCCAGTACCTCCATTAAAAAAAAATGAAGTAGTATGGGTGACATAAGATTCAAAGATGCAGTAGAATGGACTGACAACTAGAATCAAAGTTCTTCTGTAATCTTCGTTATCCTGAAATAAGATAATTTCTAGTTGTTAATGAAGCTTTCAAATCAAGATTTACAAAGGTTAAGTGTTAGTTTCTTATGGGTATGTTAACTGACTAGGAAAATGGAAAAAAAGTTTGGAGGCCTGACTTACCACAGATTATATAAAGATAATTGTTGATTTTTCATGGGCTGTTATAAAGAATAAATTTCTGGTGTTTTAACAGATGGGAAATAAGACCAAGATTGCAAAATGTCCTTTAAGAACTAAACAAACTGGATACATTCTAAAATCAACACAAAATACTTGTGTCAGGAATGAAAAACTTTTGCAAAGGAAGAGAATTGGTTCAGAAACTTCACTGGCAAAAGGTGGAAAAAATAGTATCACTTTTTCACCCACTAAGGATTTATGCAAGCAGTATGCAGATAAAGACTGTCTTCATATCCAAAAAGAGATTTCACCTGCAACCCCTAATACACAGAAAAATAGAAACCCTGTGGATGCATCTGTCGTAGCTAAACAGCAGCCTTGCAAAAAGCACATCACAGCTTCAGGTATGAAGAGCAGTTTCGTTTGTCTAACACAAGACCAACTACAACAGCTTTTGATGACTATAAACCAAGGAAATAAATCTATGTCCCTGACTGAGAATGGAAAGAAGGAAGAAACAAGTAAGATTTTTCTAAAGTTTTTTTTATTAGTTTTATCAATATTGTATGTGTTTTAGAGTCTGAGGTTCATTGTATTTTACATAACTGTGCCTCTTACATTCTAATTTAACATATAACAATCTTTTAAAATAAGTGTTCTTTTAGAGAACATTCTCTCTTATGCAGTTACTTTCAGTTATAATATGCCATGTTTTAAGATTAATGCTCAGTATTATTGTTCTCATATACCATAGCCTTAGGAAACCCAGCTTCTGTGGACTCTAGATGTTAGTACAGAAAGCTGTTGTGCTAATTTTAGAATGTAGGAGGCTTTACTTACTTTAAAAATAATTATATGAAATGTTCTTTAAAAAAAAATACTTCTAGTGAAAAATGAGGGAGCCTTACAGTGAAGATTTTATGTGAATTGCTGAAAAGGATCATTTTCCTGGCCCTCGCTTTTGCTCTTCCTGACCCTCAATCCTTGCTAAGAATTGGCAACACTATCTTTAACCAATGTAAAATGTTGACTTGGAAGTTGTGGAGTGTTATGTGCCTCTGTTTTACTAGTCAGGGCATTGTCTTATGTTTTTTAAAGACTTCTAGTTTCAGCTTTGACCTAAGGAATTGTAAATATAAGTAGAAATACCATTAAAATTTTGTTAGACAATAGTGAAATAAATAAAATTAACAGTCACTAAGAATAGGCCCCATAGCTGGTTTTGGGACCAGGTAGTTCCTTAACACTCCCAAGGTGGTCAAAATGGAGTCATTTATCTCCTCTTGGTCTAGATTATTCTTTGTAAAGAGAGGGAACTGCTTTTGTCTTTAAGGCTAGAGGTCTAGCTCAGAAAACAAAAACTAAAAACTTAATAGGCATAATGCAGTATGATATCAACAAAGTTAAAAGCAGAATTTGCCTAATTATATAATGGCCTGCACATTAGATATGCTTTCTCTCCATTGGGAGAAGTATCACATTTTTGAGCCAAGCATATAAACCCTGTATAAAACATTTGGAATAGATGCATTTGGGACATAGAGATAGTGGTCAATGGTAAAGTTCTTCACTGATTTCCCAACTAAATTAGAAAAAGACAAGGTAATGAGTTTTTCATAAAGCTCTTTGCATTTATTCTCCTTTAAGTTGTAATCTGTGTTATATTTGTAAAAGTATTGTTGGCAAGAGTAAATGGAGGTTTATTTGTTGTTGCTTGTTTTCTTATTTGATACAAGAAATTGTATAACTATGCCCATACCTGCGGGGCCATTTAACCCCTGAGACTCAGTTTTCTTTTTTGACAAAAAGGGAATCATAACACCCACTGCAGAGACTGCTGTGAGAGGTAATTAATTAGGTAACGTATAAACCTTTAATGTAAAGTTTTTTAAAACTATAGTAGTATATCAAGATAAGATATTATTATAGTACATGTAATTTTAATATTAATTATAAACATGCATTTTACCTTCTAGGTCAGTACAGTCTAAATTTAAACAATATTCCTGATCAGCCAAAGGATGAGAACATTATGGGACTACTCCAAAAAACTGAGGCTGTTTCATCTGTTCAGGATGAAAAAAAATCTGTTTTAAATAAAAATCAGGTGACGTCTAATCAGTATGAGCAGAAAATTGCCACGTATGTAGCTCATAACTGTTATTGTGGGGTCATCTTGGGAATATGGTTTTGCTTTTCCTTGACTTGCTTGTGAAATATTTACTAGGAATATTTACTAGAGCTATTTAAAAGTTTATTACTTAATTTTTATGGAGTAAGTTGTATGGAAATGTATAATAAGGTTTTTGTTATTTTTTCGTTTTGTCTTAGAGAGAATGTATGGAAACCAACAGACATATTTAGTACCCTGGGAGAAAGAGAACGTGATAGAAGTTTGTTGGAAGCAAAAAAAGCCCAGTGGAGGAAAGAGCTTGGTGGGTAATTATTGTACTTTTTAATTATAGTTTTGTTGGCTTAAGGAATGTATATTGAAGATGAAGTATATCTTCAGTATGATATTTTCAAAAGTCTTATAACATCGAATATTTAGAGTGGTTGTCTACAAATACATAAGAAACTGTGTGGTTTCACATTCCCTTAGGTTATATCTTTTGGTTTGGTGCTCTGTGGTATGCACCAAAAGCCACCAGTGAACATTAATGTCATCAGTAACATTCTGGAGCTCAAAGATTCTTAAACATTTATTTCATGAGAGTCTATTTTCATATTTTTTCATTACAGAAATTCTATGGGTTTAAGAGGGATATAGCTCAAGTGATAGAGCACTTTCTTAGCATGCATGAGGTCCTGGGTTCAATCCCCAGTGCCTCCTCTAAAAATGAATAAAATAAATAAACCTAATTACCTCCCCCCACAAAAGAAAAAAGAAAGAAATTCTACGGGTTTAAAGATGGTTTTATTTAAAAATTATTTTAAAAATAAAACATTTTAATCAAGAGTCATCAATGTGATATCAATCAGTATATCCCATACAAAAACAAAGCATTTCTTTTTGTCAGTCTCTGGACATTATAACAGAAAAATTTGTAATTTCTGTGAGGGTCTTAATATGACTAAGATCATAAGTAAGAAACTCCTGTTACTTTTTGCACTAGACTTAGGGTCCAGGTATAAGAGTTTGGAAAATAACGTGAAGTGACAGTTGTACTAGTTGTACTTCCTAGGAATAGTACTAAAAGCATGAAGATGGGCTTCACTCTCTACTCAACTGGGAAGTCCTGCAAGGCAATCATAACCCTGCTGGACAAGCAGAAGAAATAGGGAATGAATTGATGCTGAAAGTCAAGTTAACAGAATTAATAGAAGAATGAAGAAATTAAACATATGGTAGAATAAGAAGGTTTGGAGATCTGATGTGTGTTTATATCATAATTTCAGCTTTAAATATTTTCTTTCAGTACGAATTTAGACACAAGATTTTATGTATTTTACTTTTCAGCAGTTATAAATGATAATGACTGACATTTATTAATTATTTATTTAGTGTGAGGCCCTATACTGAAGCATGGGCACTATTATTACTTTCATTTTACAGAAGAAATGAGGTTTAGAGAGGTGAACATCAGTTTGCCCACAGTCACCCAGCTGGGAAGTATTTGAACTTGAATTTAACCCCAGAGTTCTTTGACTCTAGAGTTCTAGCTTTTAAGTTTCTTAGTAATGACGGAATGAACATTACAGTAGAGTAGAACCTCACAATAATTAGCATAATATAAAATATGTTGTTCCTGAAAAGTTGTTCCTTATTGATAATTACAATAAAACAAACATTTTTACATTCATTTCTGCCATACTTAAATTTGGTTCTGATTAAATGTTTTCTTTTATTCCATACCCCTTGAAATTCTTCTCTGAGTTAATCTCCTTCCTAAAAACAATCTTGATTAGATCTGTGTTGAAATCTGCCCTCTTTAAGTTCTTGATTTGTTTACGTGATTTTTTTTTGCAGTTTTTGTACATTTTTTTAAAAAGGACATTATTTACAGATGAACAGGTTGCTTTAAAGAAGAAAGAAAAAGAAGCTTCTGAAAAATGGAATCATTGGAAAAAATTTGAAAGTGATAAAATAGGATGGGAAAAACTTCAAATTCTTGATCAATCTAAGGTAAGAATGTCAAAAACAAGCATTTATGGAATATAAGATATCTTAATTATAATTTTTTTAATGCTAAGGCGTCTTTATATCATAAAACTTGTTTTTAAAGCTTGTTCATTTTTTTAAACTCACTTTTCATATGTTACTTTAAAGCAACTTTATTTTGAATTTAATTATGACCTTGACTACTCTGTTTGCATTCTGTAAATAGTCGTACCATGTTAGTAGGTGAGCACAGAAGCCCCAGGCACCTCCTCTAGGCTCCTATAAAAGAGCTCAGCAAGTTTTTAGAGGTCCACAAAACTCTGTACCACTGACCATGTAGTATGCACTACAAGATTATCTCATATATACATGTATATATATATAGCATATGTCCTTCAGGTGATGCTTTGGTGACTTAAATTTTGTCTGTGTTCAATACTAGACAGAAAAAGTGCCCTTATTTTTCTATTTGTTTTTAGACTTCTGCTGGCTCTTCTAGCATTGTGTCACAGTCTCCCAGGCAGGTGATGGTGGTCCAAGCTGATGGGCACTCACTATCTAGAGGTAGTCAGATTTTAGAGGTAAGTTCTAAGTGTCATTACTTTGAATATATAAGCTGTTTAGTACTTGATCATTATATGACTTACTTTCCTTGAAAGAGTGAATCTAAATATTCTTATTTTAAATTATCAGTTAATTTTTACTGAGTACATTATGCTCCTTAAATTTTAAAAAAAGTTATCAACTATTTTTTTTACACATGTAATCCCTCTTTCCTAGTGAACATTTACATTTTAACAAATGTATTTTGAAAATAATGCAGTAACCTAAAGGTATGGTTCTAATGGCAGACATTTTCAGTATTGTTAGATTTCTTAGAGAACCCCTGCATGTTAGATTGTTTGCTGGCAGTTTGTCCTCCTCCATGTGGGACTGACTTGTCTACATCAAACAGTTTTATAGTCTGTTGATAATTTTACAGTAACAAAAGGAATGAAATCAGAATTCTGTTTTTCCACATTTCAGATACTACTAAAAACTACACATAGAACTATTCATGAAGTTGGTGAAAATCAGTTGTTAGCTTATTTACTTCTCAATATTAGGATTAAAGAATAATGCTAAAAATATTAAGTATTCCAGTTACCAAAATGTCAGTTGAAATGTTAGTATATCATTTATTATTGCTTATTTTGCATGATTTTTTAGGTCATTTGTTACCTGGGAGTAATCCATACTATGGTTGTTAATGCAAATAAAGAATTAACCATTTGAGGTGATTTTTACGGTTTTTTTTTTAATGGGCTTTTAAAAAAAATGATACCATGTATTTTTTTTTTTGTAATCTAGAAAACCAATAATGTCATTTATATTTTGGAGTCAGAGATGGGGGTTGGGAATGGGAGAAAGACTAGAAAGGAAAACAGACACTAAATCTAGGGCTGGACAGGCAAATGTTAAAAGTGTGATTATGTATCATTTTACAAATGCAGTTTTTATTATTTGTGAATGAATATGATAATATAGTGGAGAGATGCTATTGAGAGGATTTGAACTAACCTTGTAATAAAAAAAAATCCCCTTCTTCAATACTTAAAGCAATTGATTTAAAAAATTCCAGCCATAGCCAGAACTGTTTATATTATTTGAGTATTAAGTTGAGCTCTTCATGTGTTTGGGAGGAGAAATTTGGTTGCAGACAGATTCACCAAGGCCAGTTTCGTTAAAACATGAGGTAATACATATAAAGTTTATAGGACAGTGGCTGACATATATTACAGGTGTTTAACGAAGGTTTGCCATAGTTATAATTTCTAAAGCACCTGTCCATTCTGAGCCCATAGAGTGTTGTGTCAATCCTCTCACCATCTTCCTTTCTTCTCTCCTTGATTCTCACTGACTTCCTCTCTCCCCCATTTGATTGGCTCTGTATTCTCACTCCTATATTGTTTTACACTGAGCAGCTTAAACTTCCTTTTTGTGTTTCTAAGAAATTTACTTAACAGCCTCAGGCTTTTTGAAAATACCTCACCTCCATGAAAACTTGTTTTTCCCTAATGACTGCCCCTCCCTGGAAAGCCTCTTAAGTGAAGGGAGTATATTCTAGCGTACTCTCTTACATGTGGTAGAAAGTGAGTTTGTCATTCTGCTGGCTTCTTATTGCTACCACCAGACCATAATTGTGCAGTTGGCCAACAAAAAATTCCTCCAATTTTTTCCCCTTCTTCCCCCCACCTTTTTTTTTGTTTGTTTTATTTTGATGGTAAAATACACATAACATAAATTTTACTCTTTTAATCATTTAAGTGTGCAGGCCAGCGGCATTCAGTGTATCCACATAGTTCAACAGCCATCACAACTATCCATCTGCAGAATTTTTTCATCATTCCAAACTGAAACTGTACCCATTAAATAGTAACTCCCCATTTCTCCCTCCTTCCAGCCCCTGGCAACCACCATTCCACTTTCTGTCTATGATTTTGACTATTCTAGATATGTTTAAGTGTAATCACACAGTATTTGTCCTTTTGTGTCTGACTTACTTCTCTCTTAACATAGTGTTTTCAGTATTTTTCCGTATTGTAACATGTATCGGAATTTCATTCCTTTTTAAGGCTGAAATACTCCATTGTATGTATAATACTACTTCTTGTTTATCCACTCATCCAAATGTTGATAGACATTTGACTTGGTATTACCGCCTTTTGGCTATTGGGAATAATGCTGTTATGAACCTTGGTGTACATATAATCTCTGAGTCTGTACTTTCGATTCCTGTGGGTATATGCCCTAATGGTATTGCTGAATCATATAGTTAGGAGTACAGCAAGGATTTCTATAGATTTATATCACTAACAGCACAAGACTGAAAAAAAAACCCATCACAATCTAGTAGAATAAATATGGAATACTGAGAACCTTTATATTCTGTCTGTTGTCATGTTACTTTAGAATTCTGGAAATAGTGTTTGTGGTTTATGAAGCCCTTTCCACAGCAGAAATGGGTTGTGACTGAATTGTAACCTAGTCCCAGTCCATTGATGGCCTTGTTTCAGAAGAAACAAATACTGCACCCTGACCAAAACAAGCCAGTCTCGCCCAAAGCTTCCCTTTGCCTCTCTCTACTGCGTAGTCTTGGAATCAGGGGGGAACCCTATCTCAGTCCTCCAAAATTGAACTCTATGGAAAGAGTCCTCTTCCTTATTCAAAACTAGGTGGTTCTCTTTGCCTTATCAAACAGATTTAATAATTAAGTAAAATAAAGAAGTGGAATTATTTGAAGGCCTGTTAGGATCTAAAAAGTGTACTAAGTACTTCATATACCTGTGCATCCAGTTTTAGAATAAGAGGCAGAATTTACTAACAACTAAATAGGTGGAGGAGAGCACTTAGATAAGTTGTGTATCCTGATTACCTAGACCTGTGTAAATCTCTCTTTGTTCCAAGAGGGGTAAACTGTGGGGGATGGGGTTGGGAAGGGGTAGCGGGGAAGGAAAATGGAGACTATGAAGATAACATTAGAAAGGGGTATATTCCTGCTAAGTACTCAGAGAAAGACCTCCCACAAGACATATGTCCTATTTTGTGAAGCAGGAAAGTTTTAAAGAACATGTTGGGACTAGTTTTTACTTATTCTTATTCCATAAAGTTATGGCTTAAAGTGGTTCAGGAAATCCTTATACAAGAATAGGTCCAAAATAAGCAAGTAGAAGAAAGTAAGAATACAGTAGCAGGAAAGAAGAAAGATTTGGTAATGAAATAAATTGAAATTACAATGAAGGAGAGGAAGAAATCACTGTGGGGACACTCCCTGAATATAGGAAGAATTTTTAAAAAGATGAAAAGTCTGACATAGAAGGTATTACAAACAGCTTATAAAGATGCAACCTTGAATTACAGGTTTTTCCAAAGAAAGAAAACAAAATAGGTAAGAAGTGCTAGTAACAGTTATCAAAGAATGAAGCTGTTTAGACCAGAAAGAAAATTTAGCTAAATGAATTTTTAAAAAGGCTAATTTGAAGATATATCCTAGTAAGTATTCAGATTTTAAGAACAAATATGGACTTACAGAAGCTTTAAACTTAAAGATGCAAGGAACAAAAATCAAGTTAACCTTATATTTCTCCTCTGTAGATAATAGAGCAATACTTACAAAGATTAAAGAAGTACAAACAGGGACTAAAAAATTTAATGCCTAAAGATGTTCACATGTTAAGGGAACATGGAAGACATACTCAGTCCTGTAAGAATTTATAAAAATCTTCCTGATACTTTAAAGAAAAATTTTTGAAGATTATTTCTGGGTCAGGAAAGTGAATCAAAATTAAAACAGTAGTAAGAGGGAAGCTATAGCTCAGTGATAGAGTGTGTGCTTAGCATGCATGAGGTCTGGGTTCAATCCCCATTACCTCTGATAAATAAATAAATAAATCTAATTACCTCCTCACAAAAAAACAAAGACAAATAAAGAAGAGAAGAAAAAATTAAAACACAGTTAACAAGGAATTTGTGGTTTAAAAAAAAGGAATTTGTTGACAAAAAGTCTCCAAGATTGTAAAACAAAAAGATAAGTTGCAGAGCAGTGCATATAGTATAACCGTATCTATGTTTAAACAAGTAACAAACTAAAAGACTTATTAGCATATATGAATAAGTAAATTTTATAAAAGAAAAGAAAGCAGGTTGTTGGCATTGTCTATCTTTGGTGAAGAGTCTTGGAAGCAAAGGGGAACCTTTGCAGTTTTGTTCTTCATGCTTTTGTGTCGTTAGAACATTGTGCAGAATGTTGATTTGTTACATGATCTATGTAAAGACAGGGTTAATTATGATTTTGAAAATCAGGTAAAGGTTTAAGAATGTAGAAAACAAAGGTAACCACTAGTGTAATTATAAATAGAATCTCTACCATAACTTGTACAGGAAACAAAATACACTAGTCCCCCTATTTTCCATGATTTTTCTCTCCATGATTTCAGTTACGTGTGGTCAGCTGTGGTCTGAAAATATTAAATGGAAAATTCCAAAGGTAAATGATTCATAAGTTTTAAATTACTTGCTGTTCTTAGTAGCGTGATGAAATCTTGTGCTATCGCTAGCTGTCCTGCTCTGTCCCTCTTTGGATGTGGATCATCCCTCTGTTTAGTGTATCCATACTGTAACGTTACCCACCCATTTGTTACTTTTTAACCTTCTCACAGTTATCAGATTGACTGTTAGTAGTATTGCAACGGCGTGTGTTCAAGTAACCCTAATTTTATTCAATAATGGCCCCAAAGCACAAGAGTAGTGATGCTGCCAATTCAGATATGCCGTAGAGAAGTTGTAAAGTGCTTTCTTTAAGTGAAAAGGTGAAAGTTCGCAACTTAATAAGGAAAGAAAAAAAATGGTGTGCTGAGATTGCTAAGATACATGATAAGAATGAATTTTCTGTCTGTGAAAATGTGAAGAAGGAAAAAGATTCATTCTAGTTTTGCTGTCACACCTCAAAGTGTAAGTTAGAGCCACAATACATGATAAGTGCTGAGTTAAGATGAAAATGGCATTAAATTTGTGGGTGGAAGACCAGAACAGGAAACATGTT